TGACATCAAGTGTGAGTCTGCATCAGTGGATTAGGTTTGATTAATAGTTACTTCCACTGGCCGGACAGCAGCATGCTGAAAGGACTCTGCCCAACTCTGAAATTATACATGAGCTAATGAGTATTGAGTGAATCTGGCTCTTACTCTACAACTCAGTTTTACACAATAAGGCTATTTTGTTAATGGTTCCGACACTATAGACAAAAATAAAGTCCTGGACACCCGAGCACATTTGGGTATTTAACATCACTTTAACAGCACACGGACAACTCAGGATAAAGTACCTTACGTTCATGCTCTTTTGGCAGCGGTTTCTTTTTCTCTTTCCAAACCCTTTACATGGCTGATTAGCCAAACGTCTCAGGGGAAGAGAATTCCATTCAAAAGCTGTGTACACATAAATCATACCTGACGGAAAACTTACCACGCTCAGAAAATAATAAAATGTTCTTTTTTGTTCCCCATAATGCACAGAGAGGAGAAAAAAAGTTCAAGGATTCTTACAACTTTCAGTATTTTCAGAATAGGTGTATTTAAAGGACCAAAAAACCTATTTTGAATATAATAATATCTAATCAAGTAACAAGAACCCAACAGTGCTGTTGCTCCAGTACAGAGGGCTTCTGCAGTAACATAATTTGAAATCACATAGTGGTTAAATTATTTCCACGTTTTATCGCCTTTTTTTTAGCGTCTTCCCTGTCTGAATACTTCTTAAAGCGCAGCTTAGTGAGCTGACTATTCCTCCCAGACCCAACCCCCACATTTTAAACTCAGCGTTGTCTTCACTATTTAAGCAACATCTTACTACCTACCCATCTTACTACTGCCTTTGCTAGTCTGGCCTGCTTAGAGCTACAATTACATGTATTTTCTTTCCTTTCCTGTGTCCCTATCTTTAATTAGAAGCCTGTCATTTCCGGGCGTGGGACTGTGGCCTGCTTGCCTCTAATTAGCCGGACTATTCAGTGCCCACAGCTTCCATGGCCTCCTTATGTCCTGGTCTCCTGTCCTGTTCAGGCTCAGATGAAGAGTAGATGTTGTAGGAATTTTTAAAGCCATTAGGTTCAGATATTTGTCAATTAAATGTGTTACCATAGGAATGTATTTTTTTCTTTTTCTGAAAATATCTCTATTTCCAAACCCTTTCTCTGTATTAAAAAACTGCACTTTCACTTGTGCTTTCACACATGGAAATTCTATAGTTTGGGGCCAAAAGGCATAACATATAAAAAGAGAGCCCAGACTTTGATTCTGTATGCAGGGCGCAAGGAGTTGGCCTCGGGTTAAGACATTTCATTTCCACTGAGTAAAGAAACAGCATTTCAAATATGATTCTAAGCCAAGAGAAGAGGTTATTGAACCACTGCATCGATGCTGTTACC